CTTTTGAAGCATACATTAATAGACTTTTCTTACTTGCCAGTAGAATCTATAAATATAGGAATTTGTTAGTAATCTGTAATCAATATATTCAGATTAATTATATCCTATTATGAACTCATATTCTGCATTGTAGAGTAACTATTTTACTGTGATGGAAAAATTATATATATTGACCTAAATAAAATTTAGGGAAAAAAATACTTTTTTCTTTCTTTTTTTTCATTTGTGTAATAATACTCTTCTCACATTTTAGTAATGTTTTAGTATTATTTTGGAGTAGCTTATCAACATCTTCATTGATATTACCTTGCGCCAATCAATAGTCTGGTTGTCTTCAAATATATCTTTCTTGCTTACTCTTATTCACTTTTATATTATAGAATGCATTTATATTACATCTTTTTGCATCTGATTCTTTAATAGATTGTTGGATTTAAGAAATTGTATCTGATGTTTTTGTTTTTTGTGTGTGTGTTACTGATTCATTATTCTCCTCAAAATTTCTTTGTCTTATCTAAAGTTTTTTACTTTTCATCTTCCCTTCTTTTTTTTTTTTTTTTTTTTTTTATACTATTCATTAAAATAATGGTGTATATATCATGGTTCTGTATTGTGTACTGTAGTGACATTTATGGGGGGCTAAATAAATGATTGAATATTAAAACACAAAACATTGGGAAACATTGCAAGTGTAAGCATTAAATACAAATGGTTTAAAACTAAAATGCTGAAAATAATTCTAACATCAGCTGAAATAAAGGAATAGGATAAGAAATTATGACTGCTCAAAGATTTTTATTTCCTTCCCTATTTTGAAACCACCTCTCATTCTCTAAGATTATATTAAATCTCTTCAGTGTAAGGGGGAAACTTCATCCTTAGCTCTACCACTGAGTTACATTGCACTTGCTTTTAAGTTTTAATTTATCTAAAAGCATTTAATAGCATAAATTACTCTGTGGGTCTTCCTAAAAACTACTTTTTCTCAATAGGTTGTATGTGTGTCTAAAGTGGCAAAACAGGACATGGGTTAATTGTTACATTCCTATCATTCTCTTCCTTGAGAGATCATAAAATTTAAACTAATTAGCTCTCCATTTAATATTTAAGATATTTAGCACTTCATGATATTGTAATATTATAGAGAACTATTAATGTTAAATATTAAACATTATACATTAATTTTATTTTACAAGGCCTCATCTCAAAAAAGATGCCAAAATTTCATATTTTTGTTGCCTGACAAAAAATGCAAAGCAGTTACTGCTAATTACAAATGAGATTAAACTATAACTTATGAAGATAGCATTGTGTCTAAACTATTATTTCAATATAGGTGTTGTATAACAGTTATCAATGTGAAAAATGGAATTAGCAAGCCAAGTTCAAATTCTAGTCAAGTTCGTTGTTAACTCTGCACTAGTGTTCTTGGGAAATACATTAATCCATCTCTTCTCTCAAACCCAACCACTGCTTTAATAACAAGACTATGCTCAGTGGCCTTGGCTGGCAACCATTCTAGGAGAAAGTTGACTGAATTCAAATCTGATAAATATCAAACTAACAATTCCATCCTGTCACAAAAGCTACTTTCTACTGAAAATACAACAGTGTGGTGAGTCTGTGGTCTTTATGGATTGCAGTAAGTGAAACTGTTATTTACACTTACTTTTAAAAAATTTAACATTTGTTTTTTATTTTAAAATATATTTTTGGTATTTTAAATATAATTTTATATTTGTAGTATATTTATAAAATATACTACAAATAGAACCTAAATCCATCCCTATCATCTTAAACATCTAATAGCAAAGCCACCTTATATTCTTTTAATTAAATGAAATGTCTCAAACAAAACAGATGGCTTATTTTTGTTCTATCTACAATATGCTATTGACGAATTTTATAACGAGATTCCTTTTTTATTTCTTTGAATTTGTAAGTATTCATTAAAAAAAAAAAACACTTATTCTGTTAGTGTTAAGATTCTCCTGCTATCTCTAGGCGTTTGCCGTCTGATCTTCCATCTTCTGTTGTTGAGCTACAAATCTATCTTGAAATTGTCAAAACAAAATGTATCTATAAATCTTTCATATTCTATTATCAACTAAAAAAATGTAATTTTCTTTAAAATTGATTCCTACACTCACCACTTTTGACAATCTAAATTTAGTTGATCGTAAATAACACACTTCACAGCAATTGCTAGTTTAATAATGCAATGAATGATGAATTATATCTAATGTACTATAAATATCTACTAAGCACTAGAAGGGTACGGTGACATTGTAGAATTCTTCTCTACATCAGCTCAACTCAAAATGATATAGACAGCCTTATCATAGATCAGGCCTCAGGAGTGAAATGAATTCTCTATTTTCTCTCTCTCTCTCTCTCTCCTTCACTATCAATATTTGAACAGTAGTGAAAGAGAAAAAAACATTTATTTAAAAGACAGCACAAATAGAAGATATGATTTATTTATGATAGTTTTTTTTTTAATTTTTTTACTTAAAATGTCTGTACGTTCGTTATGTATGTTAATGCTGTTAAATTTGTGTACAAAATGTGATACACTAACTACCATTTTCAAAAGCACATCAGTGATTTCTTGATCAGTTTCATATTGTATGTAAACACTTTGTCAAATATTTTCATAGCTTTTTATTAAGTTTTTACAAATGTGTTAGCTGTTGCACCCCCTCACACACACACACACACACCAAAAAGGAAAATAATTTTGAAATTAATATTTTAAAATTGTTAAATTTTATTTTAACTTTAACAGTCTTACTCTTCTTTTACCATGCATTGACCAGTTTATTCACCTTTTTAATAAAAAAAAAACGTTAAAAGTACTCGTATAATTAATATTTACTTTATTTTTTGTTTGTCTTATCTTTTTAAAGAATAGTTTGTTAAACTTAAATGTAAGTTTTTTTACATTTGATCGCGTATATCCGTATTCGTGGTTTTGCTGAACGATCGCTTATGACCTTCCAGACTAAAAATTAGAGACTCACAAGTCGTATCACTTATCACACGGTATGACTTATTTTGCTTGTCTCATAAGTAAATAGCACATTAAGGCAGCGTATCGATTTTTTAAAATTTTGTTGGAATGTTTTTATGTCTGTATTTATTTTCCATTGTCATCTCAATTTATTAATTTGTTCATGTCAATAGCTCATCATTGGTCCTAAAAAATAGGCATCAACAATGAACAAAAGATAGTTGTTTGAATGAAAAAGTGCAGATTCTAGAAATGTCAAGAAAGGTTTTCATATGCAGTGATAGGCTGCGTATTTGGTATCAACTAAAATTACTAAAAAAACTATTGTTCGACACGTAAACGAGAAACTAAGATAAAAAAAAGAGAAGTAATAATTACTTGTGTGTGGCATTGTACGTGAAACTAATGTTAAAAATGGAGAACGCTTTATTTTTAATTTGGATCAAAGTCAAAGACCAGCACAAGAAAAATTTGCCCGTGAATATTGGTACGATTTCTGCCAAGACCCTACAATTTATACGACAGAATCTAAGCAGCAAAATCCCTCGTACCAACAAACAAAAGTAAAATCGGTAACAATACTATCAGCAAAGGCTGGTTTCAAAGAGACGTTATTCTGAATTCACTCCGTGATATGGATGAACCTTCTACTCTCCTTCCATTATGGGGCTGCTAGTCTCCCCTAAAGTAAACTAAATACTCTGGTATGTGTATGAAAATGAATTTAACTCTTTTTAAAAAATTTAAATACATATTTTATCGTTGCGTGCTGAAGTAACATCAAGTGTTATTTTGGGTGATCATTTATTAGCGGGAGAAATTGCTTCAACAACTAGCATCCGCGAATATAAAAGCCCCCCAACTGTAATCAAGTGTACAATATCCACCATGAGGTTACTGTTTTTTCTCAATGTTAGGGCCTGGCTGTTTTAGCATCAAATTCCTACTTTTAAAAAAACTGGGAAAATAAACTCCTACCTTTTTTGTTCAAAATTAGTTTTTTTTATGAATTTCTGTATTCATTTATTCTTGTCCCTCACAATTCAATAATATTTGCCGTTGCGTAGTAATGAATTTATTTTTTATTGTCTATATAACGGAGGGGGAAAAGGACTTCTTTATTTATTCTCCTTTTAGTTTGCTACTTGTGCCGGAATAAATAGATAACTGCGTTTAAAAATACAAGCATAAAACTTGTAATGATGGCTAATTTCTAATGAATGGTAACAATAATATTCTTATTGGTCTATTATTTGAATGCTTGTATTGTTTTTTTTGTTGTTTTTTTTTCGTATTTTGCTGAGCAAAAAGGGGTTGGGCGTTATTTTCTTGTGAAGGAGATTGCTGTGTAGAAAAATAGAAAAGTAGGTCAGTACAGTTCGAGTTAGAACCAGCATCAGTCAGACTTCACCTGCTGCTGCTACACCCGCCCTTGTCCCAGTCTCTATTTGAAAAACATTCCATTCTCTTTCAGTACACCATTTGCTATCCCCCTCCTCTTCTTGCCTCGTTCTATTACAACTAAAGCACTAATGTAAATAGTACATAATGATTGTAATTAGTAAAAACTTCCAAATTTAAAAAAATCTTTTTCTATTTCTATTCGAGAAACCATTAACAGTATTTTTTTTTAATTTGTCCTGTTATTGTTTGTTAATTTTTTATGGAATAAAAAAAAAACGAAATAGGAATCTGAACCACTAAACCAGTCAAAAACAGCTTTTTTAAAAAAAGTCAATTTCAGTCTTTCATATTTTCATTGTGCCACTGCTTGCAAGTTGTGACTATTAATTTAAAATATATTTCACTTAGAAAATAATTCAACTTATTTATAATTACAATATGTCAGTTTCACTGTGTGTGTATTTTTTCATACTATATTTCGGAAGGATAAAAAAATCGTTGAAAGTATAACTTAGGAACTTTTTAAAATGCCTTAGAAACAGGATTAGAATAATTTGAGCTAACCATTTTTTTTATTTGTCCTATGAGTGTTGTGTTTCCTTCCTATCCTTTAAATCCCGCCTCTTCCTCCTACAACCTCCTTTTCTTTTTTTGTACTATATCAACCCAGACTGCATTAATTTCTAACTTTCTAACTCCCCTTCCTCCCTTTTCTTTTCCTCCTATTGATCCCCCCTCCGTCTTTAGCTCAACTATCTTTGCCTACCTCCTCCCATCTATTTTCTCTAAGCTTGGCTCTGTATAATAGCAGCAGGCCTCAATTCTTGCGCGAACCAGGAAATCATATCTCAGGGGAGACGAATAAAAACCTCTCTCACATATTCTATAACATTCATATGCTGCTACTACTGCTTTTGCTAGCCTAACCACCAACCCTAGCATTCTGCCACTGCCTGTTTGTCTGTATTTTTCTTTCTCATTGTGTGTCTGTGTGTAGTCAGTCAGTAGTTGGGCCGTCATAACTCCCTTCCCTCCCTTTCTACACTCAAAGCACTGCGGCGGACTGATCCGATTTTTTTCCGCCGTGAGTGAAGCGGTCAGCGGCATATAAGGACATAGTGATAGTTATATGGTGGACTAAGAGAGGTAGAAGGAGAGACAACTATTGACTATTAAACGCGTCTCCTCTCTAATTTCGCCGTAGCAACGTGGTTCTGGGCCAAACCAAGCAAGTTTTTATATTTCTCTGTCGAAAAACTAGCTCTGTGCCTGTGTCCCGGGCTGTGTTATTTATTTGAAATCTATAGTGATGGGGCACTATGTCTTCTCGTAGTATGCACTACGCCTCTATCCGGGTGTGACGTCACGCCACTACAACGTAGTGCCGTGCGGAAGAAGGTTACTAATGGCTTCCAATCCACAGGCACCGTCAACATCAGCATCTCCTCCACCGGGTTCTTCTCCTACGGCTAACTCTTTGCTGGCCGGTACTAACATTCCTCTACCAACAGCAGGAGTGGTTAACGAAGATGTCCCCATACTGGTTATGCCGCCGCCCCCGAAGGAACCCCAACAATATGACAGTAAAAAGACGAAAGAGGCTACAAAATATAGCGCTAAAATTTTCCGTGACTTCTGCCACAGTCGTGGCATCAACACCGCCATTGAAGATATGGCCAAAAGCGAGCTGGATGAATTATTGACTGACTTCTACATCAATGTCCGTACTCAGGGTGGGCAATTCTATAGTTTCTCGTCGTTGGTTGCCCTTCGACATGGCCTTAATCGATACCTAAAAAATGTGAATATCGTCAATGACCCGGCTTTTCGTAAGTCCAATTTGTCGTTCAAAGTTGCCCTGAAACGCCTCAAAGAAGCAGGCAAGGGTTCGATCGAACACAAGGAACCGATCAGCCAAGCCGACATGGCCACTCTATACTCTCACTCACAAGTGTTCAACCCAAACACACCCGAGGGTCTCCTGAACAAAGTCTGGTTCGAGATTACATTCTATTTTTTCCGTAGGGGTCAGGAAAATCAGCGATATCTAACTCCAAACCACTTCGGTTTTGCTACTGACGAGTATGGACGGAAGTATGTTTATAAACGGAAATCACTTTCTCTTTACACGAACGGATGTAACATGGATCCCACAACTTCCTCCTCCGATTCGGGTCGTGGGGTTAGAATGTACGCCACCGGTAATGCTGTCTGCCCTGTAGCTACTTTCGAACGATATCTGAGAAAAAGAAATCCTCATGAATCGGCTCTTTTTCAGCACCCAAGAACCACATCGTTTCAAGATTCCATTTGGTATAATGCTTCTCCCCTTGGGAAAGAGGCCCTGTCTACGATGATGAAAAGGATCGCCCTAACTGCTAAGTTGTCTAGGGTTTATACGAACCACTGCATACGAGCAACAGCCAAATTTGTCCTTTTCCAAGTATTTGATGCTTTTCAACAGTTCGATCCTCAGCAAGGCAACTCCAGTAGTTCAATCGGGGCCCAACCGCATGCCCAGTCACTAGCTATGTCTGGAATAAATGCTATTCCTGGTTTAAATACTTTAACATCGCATGATCTAACAGGTACACACGATGCAGGTGCTGCTGGGGCCAACATTGCAGGTACCCTCAATTACGGAGCCCATCCTTCTGGGTTGAGAGTAGCTATGGTTCAGGCAGATCCAGACAACAGTTTTATTAGTGCCGCACATTTGCCAAATCTCAGTGAAATAGCCCTCAACCGACAGGTAAGAATAAAGATTTCATTTAGTTATGTTTTTAAAAAAATACATATTTTTATTCTAATCATGATTAGAATGCACCCGATTGAACCCTGACAGCCTAGTAAACGACTTTATGATCTTATTCTCAACTTTTCTTGCTTATTGTTTTTTGGTTACTTCATTTTTTTTTTTAGTTAGTTAGTTCTGAAAATTTGTACCTTGGAAACTTTTATTTTTAGGCCAGTTCCGCCTCCCTAGGTCACTTCCCCCAGAAAAAGAACTTTAAAAAATAATTTACTAAAAATATTTTTTTCACTTTTTGTGTCTTGATACTACTTTAACTTTTGGTTTATTTTTAATTTTGTTTGTTTAGTTTTACAATTTTGCGCACAATTATACTTTGTGATGAAACTTGTATTTTTACCAGATATAAAATATTAATTCCAAACGGAAAAAAAATTTCCACGAATTTTAGTTAAGTATCTGGAAAATAATTTGTTGTAAAGTAAAAAGAGCAATATTTTTTCCTGCTTTAAATTAATTAATCGATTAAAAAATTGAGCCCCCCTTCTGCGAATATTTTGTTATCACACGTGTGCATTTTTATGGGTAAAATAATCTGCTAAACAAACTAAACATGTTTGTATATTTTTGTTTTTATAAACTGAATAATTCGTGTAGTAGTCTTATGTTTGGATTTTTAAAAAATATTGTCATGTCTGTTTTTTTGGCACTGACGCAACAAAATTGAAACGAAAATAAAAATTCGTAAAAAAAAAAAAATTGGCGTTGTTTAAAAAAACTATTGTTGTTACTTTTCAGTTTCTTTAAATGTTTATTTCTAGTTTGTACTCTTAGTAAATAGAACTCGACAATAACAAAGCGCTTCCTATTAAAAAAAAATATTGATATTAGTAGGCGTGTCTATATTTGCATATCCCTGACTGACTAATAATAATTGACCAAGTGAGGTGTGTATAAAATGCTGCTTTAAAAAACTGAACGAATAAAAGCATTATTTTCAGTCGATAATTTTTCTTTTTCTAGTATATTTTTATTTATTTATTTTTTGTACGTACTCTGTTAGAATATTTACTTATTGATTCATTAATTTTTTTTTGTTAGTGTAGCATCTTCTAATTCATTCTTCTCCAGACAGAATGTGAGTACTTGCACTACTATGCCTACCATTGAATAACCATCAAATGCAAGTCATTTGCACATCATTGGTGCAGCAACAGTCTAGCACTTTTTCTTTCTGCAACTATTGATGCAGCAGTTACCCGTCTTACTGTCTGCTGCGACCTCTATGCTTATTTATTATTATTACTAGTTTGTGGCTATTTTCAGTTTTATGCTCAGTTTCTTTTTATTTTGTTGGTGGTGATGCTCTGTCTCTGCATAATGCAGAAACAGCTGTTTGCATTTTGCAGGAAAATTATTTTCAAAACTTGCCCCCCCCCCACTTCCTACGAACGTGGTTTGTTTCTAATTTTAGATCTTTGCGTTCTTTATTAATGATTTTAACTTAATCAAATTACGTAACTTAAAAGTTACAATCTAATTCTTAAGACTTAACCTAACCTAGTTATCATTTCGTCACTTTTCTTAAGTTTAATTTTTATTTTTTCCAAATATATAATTAGCGTTTTGTTTGAATTATCTACATTAATGACTTGGGTACTATTGAAATTTAGCTTTATATAGTTGAGCAACTGTTCTACACACCCAAAAAGCCCAAATCCCTTAGTTAGTACTGGTCATTTCCAATTTGTATTTAATACAAAAATGTGAACATAATTCTGAACTGGAATTGTTTTTAACAATTTGAGTGAAATTTAAAAAAAATAAAAATAAAGCGTACAAGCTGCTGTAATAGAAAAAAATGTTGACCATCTCGGCATGGAATGATGTGCAATTTACTTAATTCCATTGCATTTACAAAAAAAGATTTTTTCTTTTTCATCCAGCATGAAATGTGCAATATTTTGAAAATAAGAGATTCTTAAAAAGAAGATACTCTAAATCGCTTGTACTCCTTATCTTCAGAACCCAGTTATATTTTTTTTAAAACCATGGTCTCTAGTAATATAAATAAGTTTATTTTTTATCAAATATATAAATAAAATTTAAAGATGAAAATATCACTTTTAAATTTTAATAAAAGTGAATTTGAATCTTGCCTCTTGATCTTCAGTGACTTAGTGTTCATGCTTTTAGTTTTATATTTGAACTTTTTCATTTTTTCTTTAAACATAATTACTAATAAAATAATGGATAGCCTCAAACAAATACTTAGGTCAGAATTTAACCAATTTTAGAAAGGCTAATCTTAAGATTCTTAAAGACATAATTACCTTTTGGAACAATTATTTTTATACAAAAAAAAAAAAAAAAAATGAACAAAAACAAATCCTAGTTGCTATATAGAAAGCACAGTAGCAGTACTACCGTGGGGAAGCTGTGGCCCCAATACTCCACATGGAGTGAAAGGGACTCCTCTCTCTCTCATGCAAAACATTGATATACATGCATGCACAAGTGCACATTTTATTTAGCATAAGAAACTTTGTTTAATTTCCTATCCTTTATAAATCTTAACATATGGATATATGTTAGATTTTTATGCTGTCTATAATATTTACTTCCAGAAGTATAAGTTGTTGAGTGAAATATTTATTTTCTTCTCTCTCTCTCTCTCTCTCTATATATATATATATATATATATATATATATATATATATATATATATAATCTTGCAATTCATTTCTTTTTTCTTGATTATTTAATACTAAATGAACTTAATAAAAAGAGAAAATTTTCTATTTGAGACAAAAACTACTCAACCATTGATGAATGAACTATCGTAAAAGTTGTCTTAAACGATCATAATGCTGACATGTTGGAAGAAAACATGAGATTGTTATAATGTACATGAGGTTGCTGAAAAGTTTTTGGCTCAACCAAGAAAAGATTTAAGAAAAAATATTTGGTAAGATTTTGGGGAGTGGTTTGAGCAGAGAACTTTTCAGCCTCTTCTCATATTACTCCCAGTAAGATTTTAGATTGAATTTTTGTATCTTATGATATTATTTTAATTACAGGAAGCTATGGAGGTCCAGTCAGCAGTTGCAGCAGCTACAGCAAATATAATTTCCCAACCTCCTATTGAATCCTATGATCCTGGGCCAGAACAGTCTTTACAAAATTCTAAAATGCGGGGTTGCACTGACAAAGACTTGTCAGTAAGGTAAAAACTCACTGACCTTTTTGATCTCACCAATATTAATCTTCTAAATTATTTTTATTCATGAAACATGAAGGGTGTTTAAATGTGAGTGAGAATTTAGTTACTATTTCAACAATAATCAGCTTGTATGGACATGCTTGCTCTAACAACCTGTTCAAACAAGCCAGTAACATTTAGAACTAGTTGCCTCTACCTCACCATTTAATTGTAATCAGGTAGCAAAAACTATTATGTAACATATATACTAATTCATTCATAAAAGAATGAATTTGTTATACCTTCAGAAATATTTACCTTGCCTTGCTTTAAAATATATATTATTAAAATTGAACTTATTGAAAATATTCATTGGATAACCTTTTATGGTCTCTTATGGGAGATTGGGATTAATGTGATCAGTGTAGAAAATATACATTACTTTCAGTTTTATGAGCTGGATGTTTACAAAAGTGTTACAATCAACAGATTAGTTATATGAAGTGTTTTTCTTTTTTTTTTTTTTTTTTTTTTTTTTTTTTTTCAAAGATTTATATATTGACATGTTTTGTCTTATCAAAACAGCAATTTTATAACATTTCCTTGAATTTTTATACCATTTTATAAAGCTTAAATTGAATTCATGAACTAAATTTTAGTATGTGTTCAGTTTTAGTTATTCACTATAATTCATAATTTTTTAAATTTTTTTTTTTTTTTTTTTTTTTTTATCAGCATTTTAATAATTTCACTTGTGGAATTGTTTATCTTCAGGAAAAAATAGTTCTAACAATTTTACTTTTATTTATATACATCTTTGTGTAATATAAAAGGAAAATGTTTTACAATATAAGCATTTTGTTTTAAAAAAATAAGTTTATAAAATTCCTCTTTTTAATGATACAATAAGTAAAGATACCAATATGTTTCTATGCAAAGATTTTAAATTCAATTGACTTTTTGGAAACTCAATTGGATTTCTGTTAATCCTCTTTTCTAATACAATTTTTCTCAAAATGTTGAACATTTTTTTTGGTATCTTCCTGTTAGTACAGTTATCCAAAGTGTATAGTATGAGTGGAGAAAGAGAGTATCATCTGAAGAAACATTTGATGCACCCTTTTATTCATTTAAACCTGATGACATGGAAACGGAGGCAGTTATTTTAAAGAATTTCCATGTTTTCCAAAGATATTGATATATTTTAAACTAATTTAAAAAATTTTTTTCTCTTTTCATTTTCTTCTTTATAATAATAAGAAAAAAAAAGAAGTCCAATAATTGTTTTCAGTTATACATTAAAATTTTGGTTGGTAAAATTTTCATTTAATTTTCTCAAATCTTTTTCAGTTTCTCTGCATCTTCACGACCTGCCACAGTTTTTAAAAAGACTTATGTGGATCCTGAACATGCTGATGGTATGATGAAATCTTTGGCCAGTCTATGGAGAAAAAGACGTTTATGTGATGCCAAAATATGCAGTGGTGACAAAAATGTAACCGTATGTATAATCCTGTCCTTAACCTATATTTCTCATTTCATGATTAATATATTTATTTTCACAATGGAAAATTTATACAAATTTATTATCATGGATTCTTGTGTGTATAATATATATATATATGTGTGTGTGTCTGCCATTTTGTAGATTTTTATGGAAAAAAGTCTATGCTCAACGAATATAAATTGATGGCATGTTTATAGACATTGTCCATTTATCCTATTATAAATTCATAACTTTAATCATATTTTTTTTTTCTGTTAATTTTAAGATACTTAAAATATATTATTCAATATTTAAATGTCATTTCAAAAACCAAGCTCAAATATTTATTATAGTTATAATCAGCATTCCATTAGCTATATAAGTGTCCTTGAATGGTAAGGAACAGATATATAATTCGCACACAATTTTGTAGTATTGATTGTAACTTGTATATCCACAGTCTTGAAATTAAGTTTATCTACAAGTTATTAGTTACTGTTGCTATTCTATTTTAGAATACTCATACTGTATATTCATCTAGTCATAAAGTTTGTTTTTTATATATATATATATATATATTAGCTTTACTAACTAAATCAGTATCCGTCCATTAATACTTTTACAGCTGTACATCTATATAAAACTTTCATTGCCCTGTTGATGTATATATGCATTTTCAACACACCATGAAAATGTTGGTTCTAGCACTTAGTGCTATTTCCAAACCAGTGTAGACCTATAATAGTTTACAATACACGTTTTTGTAGATTATTTATATTGTGTTGACAGTGTTGTTTAGCTTAGTCCCTACTGCAGAATATCTGATCCAAACCAAAATGGCAGCACTCATGAGAAATCACTGTCAGCATCTAAACTGCGTCTAGAGATTATATGCAAGTTACGAATTGGTATAAAAAGTTGCGTCTTTAATGTTAAAAGTCCTATTATGTTGTTTAGATTCTACTCAATATTATTAACTTAGATATATAGTGATAGAGAAAACTATTGTTTTTTGTTTGGAAAAAATTTTACTAAGTTAACAAAACTGACTAATTTGTCTGTAGTTTATCTGCAACTATTTATTTTGATACTTTTACATTATTATACCTTGTAAGACTAATGTAAAAAAATAATATGAAAAGATTTTAGAACAAATTCATCAATTTCTTAAAGGAAAAACAAAAAAAAACATTTTATTTTAAAAATAAAAGATATATTAACAAAAATAATAAGAACCTCCTAAAAATTTATTGCACAAATGCTCCTGTCTTTTTCAATAACTCTTAGCAGCCTATTGTCAACATCTGATGTTAGATTTTGCAATTTTAGCGGCTGGTAAGTTGTTTAAAGCAACTTTAACTGCTTCCCAGACACAGTTTAAATAAGATGGATTTTTTTTTTTCCAAAAATAGGCTGGGTAAAATGACATAAGGCAGCAGTGAAAGTGTTAATAATGATCATGTAATTTTCAATACAATGTCTTAGGGTAACAGCATTCTAATAACTGCTAATAGTTGTTACCAGTAAGAAAATCAATCTGTAAGATCAGATTTTTACTAAAACAAGAATTAGACCAAAAGAACTTGATAAGAGTACAGTTATTTCTTATTCAAATTATTTAGTAATATTATGAATATGCATCTGTTTGAATTTACTCTTTAATGTATTTTAAGAATAAAGTAATTTTTATTGCTTCCAAAGCATATTTTATATCAGCATAAATAATTTTAAAATATTTTTTTAAGTTGTCATTATTAGAGTTTAATTGTATTTTTAAAAAAATCTTTCCATTAAATTTAATGGTTAAATGTATATTTTTATTTCTTTAGCTTCATCGTTTGGTATTGTTTGCTGCTAGCCCTCATTTGATGGAGAAAAATATAACAGATGGTGCTGACCTGGAGGTAAATCTTCCCCCAGGAATAAGCGAAGATGGCTTGAAGATCTTTGTCAGTTTCCTCTATGATGGGGTGCTGAATCTGAATGAACATCTTTATAAAGATGTTGAAAGAATATCAAACCTTTTGAAGGTGGATAAAATCCAGAAACATTGCCGGGAATTTTCAGCCAGCTTGAATGAGCACCGGCAAATGACCAGTTCTCCGTCGATATCTGCACCCAGACGCCGTGACAATCTACCAAAGTCTCAAAAGTCATCCAACCGTCAAACTGTTGTGCTAACTTTAAGTGATGATTCCAATCCACCAGAAACTTCTCTTGGCCAACAACAACCCCAAGAACACACGTTGACTCTCTCACATTCACAAATTGAAGATCTACAAAATAACTTAGATGAAAGAATCCAGGCTCTTAATGAACACCATGCTTATATGACCTCTCATCATGATCGCTACCCTCCTGCCACTCAAACATCTGGCATCTCCCTACAAACTGCTGCCAATTCTACCACCATTTCGCATGAGAGTGGCATCAAAACTGAACCAATTGAAATACTGGATGATGATATTACAGACTACAGTCCCTCTCAGGACAACATAAAACATAGCAAAAGAAGTTTAAATTCTAGCAAGAGTTATGCAGGAGATAGCCCTGGCTCAGATGCTATTCGTCGTTCTTCACAATCACACACTACTTCCAGTACAGTAACACGGACGTATTTAACAACTAGTAAGTGTGAGTCAGGGCTAGAAATGGCAGAAATGGATGGCATTACTACTTCATGTGCCTCTGGGACTTCACCATATCCAGTCAGTTTAGTTGCATCATCTGGAGAGACGTTTCCCCTTTATACTTTATCATCCAACCAATCCTGACATTGCTTAAATTTTGTCAAAATTCTCTGCTATATTTTTTTGGCTGATTTTAAGATGTATAGGTTTAGACAAAATAATTTTGAAAATTTTTTTTTTAAGTTTATGGCTGGCTTGAGTGTTGGTTGGATAAGTGTGTTTTCATCTGCTTTCTAAAATAGGTCTATATTAATATTGCATTAGGCTTAAAAAAAATATCCATGCTGAGTATAAAAGAACTTATTTTTTTTAATGACTGAAAATTTCCTTCTGTTTAATTCCATCTCCAGATTTTTATCTTTACCAACAGTAGATAATTATTTAAAAAACCAAAAACCAAGATAAGGAAATCTGAAATGAAAATTTTAAAGCAGTTTATAAAGATTTTACTAAATTTGCAACTTACTATACATATTTTATTGGATTTATGTCAGTTAAGTAGTTTTAATTCAAAATACTTCATAATATTTTAGTTGTCTTTTGTGTATATAAAATATTTATATACTGTGTAAACAGTATATAAATGAACAAGTTAGTAATTAGGAGTACTGACATTGAAAATTCAGTGCTGACTGCCTATAAAATGAGATCAGATTTCAATAGTCGTTTAACATTTTTTTTGACTATCTTAGAAAACCTAATTATCAATTTAAAATTGCAAACTGCCCATAGTTTAATTGTTAAACACCAAATATAATTATTCAAAAAAGCTGCAAGCTATACAAATGTTATGTTAATAGATTTAGTTTAAACTTCTTTTTTTTTTTTTTTTTTTTTTTAAAATCATGTTTTCAGTTTATGATCAGCATTCCATTTCAAACATTCTCAAATATTAAACATCAGTAACTGTAATGTATTACAGATGTTGATTTTTGATTACTCTACAAAATAACTGTTTTGACTCTTATTTCTATGTTTCTGGCGATTGATTTTAGAGCAAAGTTGACCACTCTAAATTGCTCATCACCTGCCACTGCTTAAAAAAAATCCCAGTGATTTTTTTTTTTTTTTTTTTTTTAAGTCTATTTTTGTCTTGTAATACTTACTTTAACATTAAAAATCCTTTACATTCAGTTCTACTTCATACTAGTTTCAGTTCAATTATGTGTGTATGTAAAGTTTAGAAACTAAAAGAATCGTCAAAATATTTGTTTATAACTAGATTCAAACAAGTTTTTTTTTTTTTTTTTTTTTTTTTGCCTTATTAGTCTAGAAGTCCTTAGAAACTTTTTAGAATAGGTGAAAATGTTTTTTATCTTGATAGTTTAAGTTGTCTCTTACATACTTTGAAAATTTGATGTTGGTTTCTAATACGCTCCGAAATTCCTGTAAGTTGCTTAATTTTCTAAATGATTAATCGAGGTTAAAGTTTAGCATTCACCAAAATAATTTTTGGAGCTCCTTTTCTTAGCTGCAAAAATGATTGCTACAATTTGTATTTTTGTTTCTATATTTCTACTACTACTGCTTTTAAATTTAATTCTCTCATTCTCTCTCATATATATATATATATATATATATAATTTATTGACCTAATCATGGACTTCATCACATATTATGACCTTCTCATATGTGTCCTTTTCCTTCACCTCTATAAATATAGAATCCTCAAATGAAAATTATAGGTGATAATTTTAAGATTTTAACAGTGTGTGATACAGTCCAAAAATGTGTGTGTGTGTATATATATATATAAAGTGATAGGGTTGAACATAGTTGTTCACCTTCCAGACAATCAGTTTAAGAAAGAAAGTGTCTTTCCTAAGAGGCATAACACCAGTCATATATCTGGATATGGTGTGCTCTCTTGTAATGCAATATTTTTTTAGAAAAAAAAATTTTCTCAATGGGCTGAAGGGATTTGATTAAATCTTGTATTTTTAAAAAAAAATTTTTTTTTTGTTTTTTTTTTCCCTTCTCCCACCAGAAATGTACATGTTTAGAATTGTCAGCTTTTTTTTTTTTTCCTCTTGTGTAATGTACTATCAGTGTTTAATACAAAAACTGCAAATGTAAATACATTTTCTTTTTTCTTTTTTTTTTTTTTTCTTTTTGTATGTATATGTATATATATATAAAAATGACATTAACTTTTTTTTTCCTTCTGAATTTCCACTAAACAGGGCAGAATTAAGTTTGGAATGAAATTGTGAATATTTTTATTAACTTGTCATTGAAAGCAGTTCTTGTTGCCTGTTATATGAGAAATAAATGTGCATGCATGTGTGTGTGCATGAGAAAGAAAAATGAATTATTGGATTTGTATATATGGTCTGAATGTATGCTTTTATTTACTGAAAATAACTTGGAACCATCTACCCTCTTACAACAATATGCACAAAAACTTGAATATTAAAAAACAAAAAAAAAAAAATAAACAAAGGATTTGATTGGAAGAAATTGATCCTTATTGTTTTCTATTAACTTTTGTGCAACTCAGTTGATTAATTTTCTCTTTAGTAATGGATAAAAGCACTTTGTCATGGAGCAATGGTTGGCAAGCTTTCTTACTTCTGGATTGAGATCAGTCTTTTCTAGGATGCCTCACATTAGTGGCTTTGTGCCAAACTAAGTAAATCTTAGTAAGTACTAAATAACGACTTTTTTTTTTTTTTTTTTTTTTTTTTTTACCCATGAAACCAAAGGGAGGTAACTTCAGCATCGGTTGAAATATTGAATTCAGGAATTTTCTCTTTATAAAACACATTGGTTTATATTACTAACTTTGAATGTAATATTTTTCTGTAATTTTAAGTTAGAATTAGCACTATGATAATGAAATATGAGAAGTTTGCATGAAAGATTTATTAAAAGACCACAATTATCATTAGCATTCTCGTATTTTTGCCTTAGAGTATAATGCGGTCATTTGTTATATGCTTTGTGGTTTTAGCATGGATACTGAATTGTTCTGAGCACATTGACCTCATTATCAGCTATGCAGCTTCAAACCTAATTTTCTCTTCTATTAACAAATATTATTTCCAAAGGTTTCTTTCATCTCTTCAGTTTTTTGTTTTTACATTCAGTAGATTTCAGCTTGCAATTTTCTTATTTATAATAATCAAAATTGGGGAGGGGGATTATTATTACTATTATTAATATCTATGTTAATAACATTGAATTAACTCATTGATCTTAACATGGGTATTGTTCTTGTAGTAAGAAAAGTAGTTAGTTTAATATCATTTATTAACAAGCCTCCTGTTAAATCTTTTATTGTAGCTATCATATGAATCATTAATAATTTGTTCACAGCTTACTGATGGCTATAAATAAATCTTGTAGCATTATTTGTGTGTGTGTAATAAATATATATATATATATAATCAGTGTGAGATAAGTCTTAGTAAATTTATCATTTACTTTTGATTTCTGCTGTACCTTTTCTCACTCTTGTAGGCAGGCAGGAGGAGAATGTGTGCCTTCAGAGGATTATTATTAAATGACTGAGGATTCTTTGTGACAAATTTGTTTGCTATTAGCTTGATTCCTAATGTGTCTAATAATAATTGCCTTCATTATCCATAAGTGCTGCCTACTCTCATTTACTTATTTAGAAATTTATACATGTTTAGTTTATTATATCTCAAAAATGTTTTGTTGAGCATGACAAAGAAAATTTTATTAATTCTAAAAAAAAATTTCTAGTATTCTTAAATTTTTCCATTTGCTGGGGGTAAGGAAGTGTAAAAATTGTCTCATGCCGATTGTCCCAAGCACTTTTGGCCACTTTATCTATTTTCAAGGGTTTTGTTGTTGTTATAAACTTCTTATCACAGTTGTCTTTTAAGATGTAATTGACAGCCATGAAAAAAAATTAATAACAATTAGCAATAAACCTACCTAATAAATAGCTAAAGAACTGGTTGAAAATGTTTGAGACAATTTTTACACTCTTTACCCCCACCAAATGGAAAAATTCAAGAATACTAGAAAAACTCATAAAATTTTCCTTATTTACATGTTTGAAAGAAAGGTTGCTGCCTCTATATATATATATATATATATATATATATATATATATATATATATATATATATATATAATGTGTGTGTGTGTTTTTTGTTTACATGATTCTGTAATAGCTTGTTTGTTGATCTGTGTTCAGTGAATATGCATACATATAGACCTGTATAGATTATCAGAAGGCAAACATTTTCTTGCTTTATACTATAATCAAATTCATAATTATTACTTGGAAGCTCATTTCATTGATGTTTCTGGCTTGCATTTTCCTCCCAAATAACAATTCTTCTACCTTCCACACAAAATAGTATTCAAAAGAAGAAAAAATACATTTTTATATGCTACAATGAGGTTGTGACCATTTCATGTTTTAGGCCTGCTTGGCTCATGTTTCAAAATTTAATATCAATGTCATTTATAGTCTTGATTATTTTGTCTTTGTGTAGACCAAAACAAAATATAATTTGCCTTAAATTAGTTATATATATATATATATATGTGTGTGTGTGTGTGTGCATATTTTTTTTTTTTCTGAAGTAACATACACCTTCATTTGCACAATATATCCATCAAATCATCCAAGCTTTACCTTGATACATCAGTTCATCTAAATGTAATAACTTTTTTCCTCCTCTTTATTCTGATTGGGCTAATTGCTGTGGTACATGATCTACAATTTTATTTTTATGTAGATGAATGAATGCCCAGAAGGTGTTGAATATGGGAAGAAGCAAGTATTGTTCATGATTTGTATTAGAATAGCCCAAATACATTACTTCAACCTTTTTAATTTTTTATTGAATAACACCAAAGGATTGTATTTGTTCATTGCTAGTTTTTAAAGTGTGTCTTATAGAGAGCAGATGGCTTACAACCAACCACTGCTGTGTTACAACCTCTTGTGCCTGGGGAATTTTTATTTTTTTCTTTCTCAAGTCTTTTTCTTGTCAGTGTGATAATTTATTTTTAAATTTGCTTCTTGTCATAAAGTTTGCTTTATGAATAAGTTATTTAAAAAAAAAAAAAAAATGTAAAATTTAAGCTATATCATTCAT